TATATATATATATATATATATATACATTAAGTAAACCTCCTCCAGGAAATAGTGATGCGAATGATCGTATTCCTGTTCTTGCTTTGCCACCCCGTGTACAGAACGGCTAATCAACGAATTCCAGGCATGCAGGGCGATACAGAACAGAGGGTTGCCACATGAAAAAGCGCACAGGACGGTTTGCTACAGTGAAGACAAGCTTTCGCCTTTTACCTTGTTCTTTTCCCCAATAGCGGTGTTTGACGTACGCCCATAATGTACCCATGCTTACGCATATGTGGGCCTTTAGATGCAAAGTCAAGTGTTGAACAATTTTGTTAGACCATATATATTCTGCGCTTCGTTCTGCGTTCATACGGAGTTCCCCTCTGACAGGAATTGCAGCAGGAGCTGCTGCAATGTAGAGGTGAATCCTACAGAGTAGCAGAACGCCTTCCTGCCACCTCTTCTATTAGAGCTGCTTGCGTAGGCGTTTTAAACCAGTAACACCTCACGGCAATCCTAGCATAAGGCATAGCAGCGATGATGCACACTCTGGCAAATGTATTCAGTCCTTGGAGAGGTTCGCAACACTGCGAGCTGGAAGTGCATCCACGGACGAGTGTACGAGTGTGGTTGATCACCCCTGAAAGTGCAAGGACAAGTATACGTATGTGGGTTTCTCCATAGATGGTTTAACAGACAAGCTGCGAACGTATTCATTACACGAATTACTTATGATGAATCCCACTCATCGCTTCAGCGGTGTAAAAAAGAAACAACCGAAATGCCATATGCAGAAGAAAATGTACTTACAAACCTCTGAGCATCCACCCATAATTAACATCAAGTTTGAATGGACTGACGACCCAAATGATCCCTAAATATAGTGATGCAGTTATGCATCTTTACCATGTAACATCGCAGTCCACTTGCTGTTCATTTCGTTCATGAGTGGTGAAAAAATGTACATATATTGCAGAATACGTTAAATACGTAGGGATAGACACCTATATGTGGACGGCTTGCATCTCCACATCATTACATCAAAGTAACGTGCAGCGAACAGCAGGTATAGCAGGATGGCTCTAGAATATACATCTAGTATTCCAAGCACAGTAGATAGGCGTCTATCCCTACGTATTTAACGTATTCTGTAATATATGTGCATTCCAAGGTACATATTATTTACACTTTCATGCAGACTGGATCTCAAAGAGAATGAAAAAGGAGTTCGTAAACCTATGCTGCACTCAAATGTATGTGAAAGTACAAATGTAGGCAATCTTCTTGTCTGAACAAACAACCGCATAAATCTGCGGATGAAACTGTACAAGAACGCGAGACAAGACGCTTTTTCTCACCATTTGCTTCCATTCAACGGCGAGTATATTTTTGTTGAGAAGCCTGGAAGCAAAATGCGCATCAAATGCACCCTTGCACAAGTGGCTCCCAGCAACGAATACGTTGCCGTGTATAGATGCACGACAAAGAAGCTTTACAACTCTGCTGTAGATGGCATTCTTGCACGCCGTTAGTTCAAATGGGCACAATGCCCCACAGAGACGAACGACTGGAAGAGGCGCACACCTCATACTTAACCTGCAAAAGGCGCTAAGGAGTTCCCCGGCGAACGCACCGGTTCAAATACGCCAAGTAAGCAAAAACCGAATTGTGGAAAACAAACGTGGGAGGCAAGTGGCGAAAGGGGTCGCGGCCGCCCCAGAATAGGAGCTTCGACGCAGAAAGCAAGCATAGAATACAACACTAGCAGCGAATAAAACATACCAGGAGGTATACTAGCAACTGAGCATGAAAGAATCCGGAAGCAAAGAGAGACAGCAACCTGCCAACAACCCGGCAGCCTGTGCGCTCCTTGCCGCTAAAGCTGTGTCTCCTTTGTTGTGCGCTATTTCTATAAAAGCATTCACTTCCTCCCTCGACTGCGCTGGAGCAACAGCAGATATCTCCTTGTCTACGTCGCCGCAGTTCTTCACTGTGTCAGTTACTGCTCCATGTGCTGCTGCTGCGTCCGGTGCTGCTGCATTCGCTGCTGTTGCTGCTGCCGCGCAGTAGAGGATGTCGTGCAGGCCTTGAGTAGCAGCCACCACAAGAGGGTGCGGGTGTTGACCAGCTGCGGTAGCAGCAGCAAACTGCATAACGAGCGTCTCCGTTGCTGTACTCAGGCGCCTTACATTTGTATCATCTAATGAAAACCCATAGTCCAGCCATAACACCACGGACACCCAGGCGCTCAGAAGCACCTGCTGAGCCTGTAGATACAGCTGCTGCTGGGTTGGGTGTAGCAGCCAATGAGTATCAGCCGTGCTCCCAGCTGTAGCAACGCGGTACCCGGGCTGTGCCTAAGCGACACGCAAACAACACACACGCTCCGCCGTCGGTGTTTATGCTGCTTGTGTAGATGCTATTGCGGCCGCTTCTGCTGTTGCAGCACGTCCTGCAGCAACAGCAGCAGGAAGCATGCGAAGTACCCCGCATTTAGATCAAAGGCCTCAATACATACCTCTGTAACAGCACCCTGCTCGGCGCTACTCAGCATCTCTTGCAGTGCTTGCATGTCTGCTGCCGCCGCCTTGATCGCTCGCCTCAACCAGACAGTCTTAGCACTCGTGCGCGAGCTCTTGAGTGTTGCTTCTGGCATTGGAGTTGGTACCGTTGTTGCTGCTGCTGTTTTTGCTGTGGGAGGCGCTGCCGCAGATGCCGTTACCGGCGATTCTTGAGTTGCTAACACAGCTGCTGCCGCTGGTGCTGTTGTTGCTGCCGTTAGTGTTGATGTTGCTGGTGCTAACAGCGCGTTCCAGGAGCTGTTGCTGTTGCTGTTGCTGCCGGAGCGCCAGCACCTCGTTTGTGCTCCTCCACTCAAGTCTTGCAGCGCAGCTACAGCGGCTCCTTTGCTATGAATTGCGGCGACACTTGTCCTCACCACAGCACGCCGCACTGCAGCCAATGCTCCCCCTATATTTGTCTCCTGTGCTCGATCCCTCTTTGTCTCAGTCCCTCCGCTTGTCTTCATCTGCGCTGTCGTATCGGGCTCTACCGTTGCCAAGCTTCCTATCTGCGAGGTCCCCTGAAGCTGTCTTCGTTGCTCTTGCTGTTGCTGCTGCAGCATCACCATCACCAGAAGACGGGCTGCTACTTGCATCGAGAGCAATGGGTCTCCGTACATGTTCATTGGCACTTCTTCAAAAACTCTTTCGGTCGCAGCAGGAACCATTTTTTCTTGTTGCTGCTGCTCCGGACGGGGTCCCGCTTTTTCTCTGAACTCCATCAAGGCATCGTTATGGCTGCTCCTTCTGCTGCTGCGATTGATGCTGCCTCCACGACGCAGCTGTCTCCACAGCAGCCGGCAAACTTCTCTCTCAGGGAAAATCTGCATACAAGAGATATCCGAAAGGCGCACTGACGTCTGCACGCTACAAGTACCTGCTGCTGATGGAACAACAACATCAAAACCCGTATCAGGCGGTGCAGCAGCAGAAACAACAAAAATTGAGGAAAATAGTTCCACAGCTCCATAGCAGATCGTGCAAAGGCCTTTTGCTTAGACAGGCAGCTTGTATACACCGAGCAGCAGCAAACATACGCAAGCATCAGAGAAAAGGGGCCAACAGCATCCTGTGAATAAGCAGATGACCCCCTTACTCTGGACAGGATCTGCAGCAGCAGCTGAAAGAGAGAGCCTGCCTCGAGCCCGTGAGGCTCGTCGCTGAGGATCGGAGTTGCTGCTGCAGTCAGCAGCACCCGAAGCTCTTCGTTATGGTCGTTGCCTTCCCCATAAGCTTCTGCAGCTGCTGGCTGGCCTGCTGCTGGGGGTCTTTCTGCTGCCGACGGGAGGCGGTACAGCAGCCCAGCAGCAGCAGCAGATGCTGCTGCGGTTGCTTCATCGCGTACGGTGACGTCTTCATCCTGTGCCAGAACCACAGCAGACAAACATAGGGAGCCCCAGTGGAGACCGCCGCTGCTTCCTTTGCTGCATCGCACCAAGCTAGGTGCCAAGAAAGATTAATACAGATACCTCTGTCGCTTTGGCTGCTGCTTCTACCGATGTCTCTACAATGGCACGTGTGTAGGCCAGACTGCCTCATAGTATGCATGCAGCGGTGCTTCTCTTGAAGTTGCTCCTGCTTCTGATGCTCCTAGAGACAAACCTGCAACAGCAGTAGCAGCGCCCTCCAGGCTCGCAGCTTCGCCCAGGAGCAGCCGCAGCCGGAGCCGGAGCCGAGCCCTTCCGGGCACGGTAGAGGCAACCCGGAGATGCTTAAGGCCTGAGGCAAAGACTCAATAGTGCAATACATTGGCGGGCGCTCTGTTCAGACGAAAACGCAGTCATATTTCTTCCTCCAAAAGAAAAATTAACAGAAGGTCAACGCGGCAAGCACGGTCAAGTAGATAAATACACAAACAGGGATCCGCATATGCAACAAAGAGAGCAATGAACGTAAGCGCGAGGAGTAATACCATACCGTGGAGTGGTATACAACGCAGGTCATCCATCCCACAGACCCAACGGTGCAAGGACAGAAGGGAAAATACCGGAAGAAAATAAAGTTAAAAGCATAGACTACAAAGCAACAAAAACAAAATGAAAGTGTAGGGCACAGAACCACATACGTCCACCCACCCACCCAAGCCCGCACCTACACCCACACAGGTGTGAATGGAGGGATCAACTAGGACACCAATAATAATATCAACAAGTAAAGACGAGAATAGAAGTTCATGCAGACAAAATACGGATGAAAACAACTCAGTGGAGACATGGGAACAAAACGGACACACAGGAGCAGGTAAACTATTGGAACCTTGTTTGGAGGTTTGGATTTTCTCACTGCTAACCTCTGCTGTCCTCAGCCTAACGGCGACTTCTTGCGTTGGCTGAGCGCACCGCAGCATTGCGGAAGCCCACAGGGACGCCCACTGGTTCTGCGGTGTTTCGAAACAAATAAAAGTGCTGCGCATCTCGTTGTTGTTGTTGTTGTTGCTGCTGCTGCTGCACCTCGTCCCCTTACTACTGCTGCTGCTGCTGGCGACTGCAGTAGCTAAGCATCTAAGCAATGCAGCTCCCAGCCTCGTCCAGGCGTTCGCAGCTCCATTGCTTGTAACGGCAGCCGCCGCAGCCGGCGCAGCTGCAGCAGCAGCAGCTGCTGCTGCTTCCTGCGGGTGCAAAACGCAGGAATTCTGGCAGAGCCGAGGATGCGCTGCAGCAAAACTGGCAATGGCAGCCAGTGCCTCGCAGGCGGCCACCCGCAAAGGAGCAGCGCCGTAGGGTAGGCCCCACAGCAAGCCTGCAGGGTCTTCTACTACCGACACTGCCTTCGTGGATGTGATCCCGACCCTGGCCCCAATCCCGTGGTGGTCGGCCAACAGGCTCCAACACAGCTTCCATAGAGTCGTGAGGCCAGCAGCTGTCTCCTCTACTGGAGGCAATGCGTCAATGGCCGCATTCTGTTCCAAATTCTCATGGGAATAATCTGAACTCGCATATCTACACGTAAAGTTCTCATTAAGCCCCTGTGCAAACTCTAGACTCTCATACTTAAAGTTACACTGAGCTCGCGTCAGGTCAGCCACTGCTAACAGCGCTGACTCCAAGGCTTGCACATGCACTGACAGGGCAATCGCCTCCGAGAGTATTCCAGCCACGTCTCTCAGAGCCCGCAAATGAGTAACTGCCGCTCGTCCTGCAGCAGGCTGTCGGGATCGTAGGTGCCTCTCCACAAGAAGACGTAGCGAGACCGCTTGGAGGGCCGGAAGACCCACGTGAAAGGTGAAATTGGGTCCTCTTGACTCAGGTGCTGCTGTTGCCATCGTTGCTAATCTCCCTGCATCGACTTCACTCTGGATGGACGGAAGCCCAAGCGCTGCTGTACTGGCGGCAGCAACCCGGCCCCAAAGCTCCACTTCGTATCTCTCGGGGACCACAAGGGCGACGGCCCGTAGCACCTGGAGCACCAGCACCCTTTCCACGGCGTTACGTTGGCACGGTCCCCCTGCTGCTGCTTGCTGCAGCTGCCAACTCATTTCCTGAAGCTTCTGAGTCAGCTCGGCCCCCTTCTCAGCTGCCAACCCTTCCTCCACTAAACCTGCAGTCTCGGGGCGGCTCAGCAGCTCCAAAGCCAACAGCAGCAAACCGCTCCGTCCGTTTGCGTCCACCCGACGCTGCTTTCGACCCGCAGCTGCAGCTGGTGCATCAGGATTATCAGTACCTCTTGGAGCAGGAGAAGAGTACTCGGGCCTTCCCGCCTCCACAGCATGTGAGCCAGGGAAGGAAGCTGACTCGCATGGAGTAACAGCAACAGCTACTGCAACAGTGAGGGCCTCTAAAAGACTGCCAGCCCCCCACATGCGGGTGCGTTGCAGCACGTAGGAAGCCAATGCGCGCGCTGCAAGGGCACGGGAAGCAAAGGACACTGCTGCCAAACAGCAGCACAAAGCACGCAACATCAGCAACAGCCAAGCTGTGGCCTCTCCGTCTTTAGTTGCTTCCCGATTCGCCCCTACAAGGGTGCGTGCAACTAGATGCTGCCCAATAGTAGCCGGAGCAGCAGCACACCCTTCCAGAACACGCGCATCCTTTGAGCCCTTGCCGGTACAGCCGCCGCCTTTGCAAATAAAGCTGCCCCCGCCAGTCCCCGCTGCAGCAACCTCGTCAAGCTGAGCCAATATTGTGTTTGGAGGGCTGTTTTCCAGAAGAGTCTCAAGGGCAGGGAGGTCTGAAGCAGCGATGGAGCTAAAGTCTGTGCGGGTCAGTAGTAGCAACACAGCGACTGCTGCATCCTGCTGGTGTTGCTGTTGCTGCTCCAGTTGAGCTCTCTCCGTTGAAGGCGGAAATCCCACAGGCAAATTGTTGATCAACGAAGCAACATCGGGAGGCCCGTAATCTGCCAAGCCACGGACGAGCAAAGCAGCACTGTGTGGAACTACCAACCGCCTGTAAAGTTCCTGCTGCTGGGGCTGCTGTTCCCGGCCATGGTGGTGGGAGTAGCTGAGCTTCGGTTGGTCGCCGTCATTCTCGCGCATCGTATGATGTGTGACTGTACTGACCAGTGGGATGAGGGCCCGTGCCAAGTGGGGACGTAGCAAAGGAGCAGCAAAACACGAGAAGCCGATGGACAGTAACCCGCACCCAGCACCCGAGCTGCTTCGAAGAGCAGCTCCGCTGCAAAACTCAAAGGCGTTAACTGACGCGCGCTGTGTCTGCAAATGAGCACAAGGGCAACAGCAGCAGACAGCATCAGTGGACAGATAAACAGGGGTCGTTACACACTTTAGGTGGTTTGTTTTGTAGCTCCTCGCAAGAGCCTTTGGCTTAGGTACTTTGGAGAGCAGCAAACGCCCCACATGCTACTGGCAATATGTTCTAGGGAAAGAGCTTGGAGGTGCGACATTGGCCCTAAGTATTGTCCTTACTTCGTCGTCAGTGCCCGCCAGGCGTTTGGTTGTGGCAACCTGAAGAGAACTTGCTGCGCTGCGCACAGGAAAATCTGTTGAGGAGATTGTTTGAATTGAGATAGCGAGCGCGGCAGCCGAGAGCGTCATTGGGGAGCTAGACCCGGGGTGTGCAGACACCTTGAAGATTTCGACATCTCGGGCCCCTGCTGTAAGGCAGATCGACGGGCTCACACTTTGAGCAGTACGGCCTTCGAAAAGTATTCCTGTCGCCCCCGTGGGTTGCGGACACCTCGTGGTGCTGCTGTTATTGTTGCTGTTGTCGCCGGTGCTGCTATCGTCGATGCTGCTGTAGTCGCCGATGTTGCACCTCCAAGAGTACCGAACTGCACCATCTGCTGCTGCTGCTGCCGACAGCACATCGCACGCTGCGACTTCGGGAGAAGAGGTAACAAAAGACCGCAGCAAGTTGAGGGCGTGGACCTGCGCGCCGAGAGCTGCGCCAGAGTCACAGGCAAACAAAACTGGAGGGAGAAAAGAATAGGGGAAGATGTTGAGAAGGACAGAGAGACTGGGCCCGATATGGGGAGGCACATAACGACTAAGCTAGAATTAGGGACAGGTCATTTGCACAGAGAAGCTGCTGTGTCTCCTCTTGGTTTTGCGGCTGTCGTTGCCTTTGTCGGGTCAGCAAGTAATGCAGCGGCAGGTACAGCTGCTATTTCTCAAGTTCCGTAGCCACAAAAGCGAGAAGATTGTTTTGGAAGGTTTCACTTGATACAGAGAGCATCACATTAGAGTGGTGCATTGTTTTGATTGTAACAGTGGTTATTGGTGTGGGCATTGCTGCTGGTCCTCGTATTTGTGGCTCGTCTCGGCTAAAATTACCAGTCCCACAATTGCGATTATTCCTAACATCTTCCTTATAACAGCCCATATTCACGTGGCTAGTTGCATGCAGCTGTCGACACGGTTCTGTTCAAATCGCTGCCATGTAAGCATCGGCATCTATACGGCTGTTCCCTGTCTGCCCTCTATCGTCAGCATTGCACTTGCACGCAACAACCTATACAGAAGTTCAAGATCTGTTATGTGGCCCACCATAATTATGTATGATGAGCTGTATGGGTATCTCTCGCTAACCTATTTGTGAAGTCCGACAAAACAGTCGTAGGCTTTAGTAATGAGGGATCAGGGGTTTATCTGCCACGTACCGTCTGGGGCAGCTGCAAAGAAAGGCCGCAAGCGGCCGGCAGCCAACGGCAAGAGACAAGAGACAACGTGCAGCAGAAGGCCAAAGTCCAAATGCTCCCCCTTTGCACCATCCCTGACTATGACAACACACAAGCAACAGCCGCAGCACAGGCAGTAACAGCATCAGCAGCCCAGGCAACACGTAAATATAGCTGTGCACAATATCTTTAGGTTAGGCGATCCAAATGGGACCGCGGAGACTGGTGCGCTGCTTAAGGATAAATAACTTACCCCCTAGCAAGGCCCTAAACACAAACCCCAGACTTTTGCTTTTGCGCACTGGGGGCGGGGGGCCTATAGTTCCTCGGCGGACATTTAGCGGCATCCGAAAGGCACGTAGGAGAATTGTTGCTGGGTGCTGCTGTTGGTGCGGTTCCATTCCGGTTGCTCGGGCATGTGGCAACAGCAGCAACAGGACTTCGTCTGCCCATTGGCGGATGAGCCTCTGCAGCGAAGGAACCTTCGAAGCGTTAATTTTAATGCACAGAGCGGCGAGGGCGTCGTGCAGAAACTCGAGGGCCCCTGTTGCACACGGGCGAGGCAGCCGCAGCAAATGCACAGGCAAAGAGGGCTATGGGTTCACTGGACCATAGTGACTGTTCGACGATTGCTAAACACTAAGCTCATCCAAGCATAACCAAAAGGAAATATGTTTCATATTTCGCTCCTGCTGCTGTATTGCTGGCTTCCTGGCTGCAACCGATGTCTATACAACGCAGCGCCTCTGCAGCAAACGTTCGAATTTCTAGTATGCAATTTACCCATATGTCTACAGGCCAAGAGAAACTCAACAAGGTCTGATCCTAGCGCTGCCACCTCATCAACGCTGAGAAGCAGAAACGGTTGCTGCTGCTGTTGTTGCTTTTGTTCTTCCAACGCCACCACCTCCACATCCTCCGTACCGTGCCCCTCGCGAAAACCGTCTTCAAACCCGCTGTGTCCTAGTTTTACTGCTGCTGTTGCTCCTGCGTTTATTGCCGCTGTTGCAGCTTCCTTCGCTGTTGCTACTCCTGGGGATTGCTCAAATCGAGCGAGCTTGCAGAAGGCCATAAGGCACTCTGTAGCCCCCTTGACTGCCCTCCAAGAACAAAAGGCCAGAAGCTGCTGCTGCGTTTCTGTATCTTCGCCGTTGTATTGGCATACCACCAAGTGGCCCCGACAATCCACCTGAAGCTGTTTCTGTCTGTGGTGCTCTGGCTGCAGTTGCTGCTGTGTCTGCTGGCTCTGTGGCTGGCCTGTGCTGCTGTTGGCCAAATTGGCGGCAAGCGGCACCTGGTCGTTGACTGTCTCCTCCAGCAGCCGTTTAGGTTCGTTCACGTCTGATGTTGTTGTGGCTACTGCGTCCGTTGCCGATGCTGCTGTTGGTGATTCTGTGTCTGCGTTTGGCAAGGCCAGCTGGGGTGTGTCTTCTTCGTCTCCAGCAGCGACAACTGAAGTGAGGCAACGACAAATACTCAACAACAGCAGCAGCACACGTTGTTGCCAGTCCCTCCACGCAGTCATTGCCTCTTTGCAGCCGCAGTTGCTTGGCCTGCTGCTGTTGCTGCATGTGACCTGCAACAAACTTGGCTTAATTGTGGCGAGACAAACCTCCAGAACCCCAAGGATCCCGTGCAGGCCCATCTGCGGCTCAGCCAGAGCCAAGGGGCTCTTCAGCACTGCAGCAACACGAACTTCTACAGCTGTTGTCAGAATACACAATACCCGTAATAGCCCGCCACAAACATAACTCATGCAGCTTTTGTTGATGCTGGTATTTGACCTGCCGTTGCTGCTGCCGGTGCTGCAGCTTCTGGGCAGCAACGGGGGCACTACTTCAGCTGCAGTGGCCTGAAGGGCCGGCGGCAGTATCCGTCTAAGCGACTCCTCAAGCGCAACACAGAAGACTGTTTGCCGCTGTAGAACAGAGGCAGGCAGTTCACAGGGGGGACCGCCAGGAGGAAAAGCAGCAGAAGCCGCAGAGAGCTGGCAGCCATTGGAAATTGCAGCGGTAGCAGCGGCTGCCTCCGCCGGGCCCATGAATACCTGCTGGAGCATTAACTGCAAGTACAGGGTCCCCGCAGCACAATAATCTTGCCTAAGAGAAACAGCCATCTCAACAGCACCGTAAACACGCCTGCGAGTGTCCTCCATCAGGTTCAATACAAGAAAGTGTTGCAGCTTCTGGTGCGGATCCTCGGCCTGCTCCTGTTTCCGTGGCTCCATCCCATGCGGTGCCCGCAAATGCATCTGCACATTTTGTTGTTGCCGCTGCGCCTTTCGCTGCTGCCGGCATGTCTGGATGTGCTTCTGCTGTTGGTGTGTCTGCTGCGCCTGTGGAATGACGGCAGCAAGAGAATAACCGTCCGGTGGCAGCAGCTGCAGCAAATCCAGCAAAAGGCCGCGCGGCGCTGGGCCGTTAACTACCGGCAACATTGCCAACAGCTGTTGTCGCACTGTTGTAGATTCCCAGCCCAAAGCGGCCCCAATACCACAGCCCACTGCTGTGGGTACTGCCTCGAGGGCCCACTGTTGGTTGCATCCTGTGTTGGTGTTGGGGCTGTTGCTGTTAGTACTGGAGGGATTGTTGCTCAGAGCAGCAGCTGCTTGTAGAGCCGTTGACCTTTTTCTATGTTGCTCCGGGAACACTCCCCTGCCCCACAGAAAATGAAGAGATCGCAGCAACGACAAGCAAACCAACACTCGATCGGGGGGCGCCCCCGGATAGCAGGAGAGAAGACAGCGGCGATGCAGCCGCTGTAGGAACAGCAGAAAGCACCCAAAAGCACCGCCACACGCAAGCCCGTGCTCTTGCTGCTGTTGTTGGTCTTGCTTTTGGAGCGGAAAGCATCTCGAAGGGAGGGTGTCTGACTCCTGCTGCTGCTGGGGTCTGCAGCAGCAGCAGCCGCTGCGCGCAAGAGCCTCAATAGTGGCATCTGCAATTGCTACCAGTCTGAGCCTAAAAGCGTTGCGGGCCCTGAGGAGCACCCTGTCAAAAGCAGCAACAAACTGGGATCGTTCTGATGCCGATCCCAGTCTGAGCTGCTGCCCTGCAACAAACAGCAGCAGCTGCAGCTCCTGGCACGTGGGTGCTGCTGTCGACTGCGCATGTAGAGTTAGTGCTTCTAGCAACCGCATGCGCTGTCGTCGGTGTCCGCTGATTAGCCCTTGGCGCAGCCGCTCAGCAGAGACCCGATAGCAAACGGGCGCAGCTGTGCTGCTGCAGCCGCGGACTACCAGGGCGTCTGTAGCGCTGCAGTAATCTTTACACCCACAAATCCTGCAGCCGCGGAAGCTGCAGCAGGAACTGTTGCTGTCGCTGCAAACGGTGTTCCTGGGTTTCCTGCAGCAGGAAGAGCTAGTGTTCTGAAGCCATCGTGCGTTTTCCCATGTAGCAAGTCCCACAGCCCTCGCTGCCGCCAGCAAAGCCGCCTCACTAGGGCTCCAAGGCCTCCCAAGGCCATCGAAGGAAGCCTGATTGCAGGCCAACGCAACGCCATTTAAGTGCGTCCCTGCTGCTGCTTGTGTTGCAGCTGTTGTTGTTGCTGTTGCTGTCGTCGTTCCCGCCACTGGCGCTGACATATGTGCCTCTGCTCCTGCTGTTGCATCCGATATACTCTTTTCTGCAACGGCTTCGACCACCTCCAGAGGGAGCCGCTCACGGAGACACAGCAGCAGCGGAGCCGCTGCAGAAGGGTCCAGCCGCAGCAGCAGCGGCAGCATCGTCTCGTCAAGGGCCTCCCCAGGAGATGCATCTGCTGCTCCTGGCAGGTAAACGGGCAGCAAAAACGGGTAATCTCGAGGTCCTTGCTGCTGCTGTTCCTCTTGCTGTTGCCTCTGTTGCAGGCCTATTTGATTGCAGCAGCTGTCTCTCCTGCTTGCAGTCAATGCGTTTTGTAGCGGCTTCATCAAGAACTTCCGAAGGCTTGGGGACGGGGCATACGAACGCTGCTCCATGCGTCCGTGTTGGGTGCAATGGCTGCTATCGTTTCCTTTTTGCTTTTGCTTCTGCTGCTGTTGCCGTTGTCGGTCTTCTTTGCTGAGATCTTCACACAGGGCGCGCAGGGCTAGCATGGCAGCCGAACGCAGCGACCTGTTGTACAACTGCGACAGTAGATGTTCTAGCAGGTAGGGCTGCACCTGCAGCACGCGAGCAGCTCCCAACGCGTGTACCAGAGAAGAGAGCGCCTGATACAAAGTCTTCCTGCAAGCTGTGGGTAGACAGAATACGCGCTTGCAAAGGGTTACCAGTAGATCTGAATTGCTGGTTCTGCCGCTATTGTTGCTGCTGCTAGTTGTTGAACCTGGTGCTGCAGCAACCCCGTCGGAGCAGCGTTGTTGTAACAATGCCCAAACCGACCGAGCAGCAGCCTGCACACTCCGTCGGTGGTGCGGCCAACTGGTCAGAGCTTCGCCTGCCACAAATTCAAGTGTGTGCTGTTGCTGCTGCTTCAGTAGCTGCAGCAGCGGGGCTTGGGGAGCCTGTTGTAGCCACAGCTGCAGCAACAGCAGCCTGCAGTCTTCATCCAGCTCCTGCTTTGCCTCCGTCACGGCAGCAATGCAGCGCAGCTGCAGCTCAAGCAGTTCCTCCTGCTCCTCCAGTGACGTGTGTGCGCAGCAGCAAGCAGATTGTTTTCCACCAGCCTGTTTCTTCTGGTCCGAGACATTGCTGTTCCCCCTGACCCCTGGTTCGTGCTGCAGCAGGAGCAGAGAGCGCAGAAGGGCTGTCTTGGCGAGTGGTCTGAGGCGGAAAAAGGCTTTCCATAGTGGCTCCGCTTCGGCTGCAACAACTGCTGCAGTTGATGCGGGCTGCACGAGCTGCAACAAGTGCAGTGCAGCCTCTCGTGACTCCTTGCCCTGTTCAGTTAGTAGTATGAGTACAGGGCGAATCAACAGCACCCTACAGCAGTGTGGCAACTCAGTAGGCTGCCCCGACGCTTCATGGGGCCCTTCCGTCCAGAAGTAGCTGTCTAGGAGCAGTTGAACAAACAAGGACGCCATAGGAGTCATAGCCGATACGTCCTCTTCTTGCTGGAGTAGCTCCAGCAAGCGTGAGAAGATCTTGTACTGCCCCTGTTGATGCGGTTGCTGCTGCTGCTTCTGCGCTGGCACATGCTGCACAGGGTAGCCAAAGAGCAGATGCTGCAAGCATGGAAGACTCCAAAAATGGGGGCCAAGAGAAGAAATGCCCCAACTAAGACCTTCTGCTGCCGCTGCTGCTGCTGGGGAGCTGCCTGGAAGAGAGTGCAACAAAGTGATGACGCAAAGCCGCATCGGTTCCTCCAGTAGCCAGACGTCTAGCTGCAGAAGCATCTGGTGCTGCTTGTGCGCCTGCTGTCTAATAGAGTCCAATAGCGCGTCGCGAGGGGTTTCCGTTGCCGTGAACGCAGAAAACAGTCTCAGGAGGTCCACTCTGTTTTGCGGAGTAGGGACAGGAGCAGCAGGGAGAGCAGAAGCGCAAGGGGTGGAAAAGTCTTTTGGAACACCTCTCAAAATTGCGGAGGAAAGGCCCCTAAGGAAACGGCGGGCAAAGCACAGGGCCACAGATGAGGCGGGAGTGACTTGCTGCTGCTCGTCTGAAGGCTCTTGCGTCGACCTCTGAGGAGACGCCCTCCAGCACGTACAAACCAGTGCTGATGAACAGGTAGCTGTTTTTTTGTGACCACCTTTGCTGTCGCTGCTGCTGCAGATGCTGGTGTTGCTGTCACCGATGTCGGTGCCTTTGTTGCCGTTGCTGTTTGTGTCAGCAGTGAAGGGAGAAAGAATAATAAGGACCCGTTGAAGCATCCTGAAGATACGCTGCAGCTTCCCCTCCATTCCGCTGGGCTGCCGGTGCTCCAGCAGCAGCAGGAGCTGCTGCTGCATTAGCTGATTAAGCCACAAGCAGGACAGCTTGGCGTACATCGAAGCGACTGCAACAGCATGAGGCGTCAATAACCCCCCTCCATTACGTTCCTTCTCTCCTTCAGGTGATATCATTCTCTGTTGTCTTGTTGCTGTTGTTGCGGCCGTTGCTGGTGCCGGCGCTGCTGCTGCCAACGACAGTGCTGCTGCTGGTGCTGCATTATCTGTTTTCCGATGTTTGGTGAGGCTTTCTGCTGCCTGTACCAGGCAAGCAACAAAAGCCTGCTGATCTTCAAGCTGCTGCACGATGTGCAAGTCACAAGCGAAGCCACTTCCTGCAGCAAAACACCGCGATGCAAGTGCGCGGTACGTGCGTTCTAGATACTGCCTAAAGTGGGCTATCCACAGACTCCGCACCCACTCCTCGTCGAACGATTCGCCATTGCTCGTATACTCTAGAGGCCCTGGAGTGTTTGTCGCTGCTGCTGTCGCCGCCGCCAACGCATTTTCAATCAGCAAATTCAGCAATTTTGTTACTTGCTCTGGAGGGCCTTTTGTGTTTGGGGGTTCAGATATCTGCTCCCCTCCTGCAGACACGGCGGAGGCGGCTGCTTCTGGTGCTGCTGATGAGGTGATCGATGAGGTTGTTGCTTGTGTTGCGTCAGTGGAGCACACAAAGTTCAGCAATAGCTGCAGCTCCTCCCATGGCAACGGAGCTCCTGGAGGCGAAGGCGTCCACCAGGACTCCTCGAGGGCGCAGAACTCCTCCATATGCAAACGAAACCATCCAAACCCTATAGCATACACCCTAGGTACAGTCTCTCAACCCGTACGAACTGCAATCGATCAATCGATTGCAGCCAGTCCGTTGCATATAGACATATCCATTGAGGTGGCAACCGGCCTAAAGGGCGTATACGCATTTATTTATTAAAACAAGTGGGAAGAAGAAATATTGGAAATAGATAAACCAGCACTATGGGTGGGTAAGGGGCCCCGGCCTTGGGGCCCCACACAACGAGTCGCTTGAGAAGGCCTGATGATAAATCCGCCCTTACGATGGGCTAAAATGTGTCAAAATGGTTTGAAATAAATGGCAAAAGCAGTTACTAGATCGCTAAATTGTCGTTACTGGGAGTCCCTCCCTGCGCTCCTTGCTGCTCGAAGGCCTTTGCAACCCTAAACGATGCTGATAGTTTACAGAAAAAGCTGTGTGGAAGGGCAAAAGTGTATTTTATTAGCAATGCATACATGCAGATAGTCTCCATTATTCTAAGCTGAGGTAAAACATGCCTCATAGGCATTAAGATAGCACTAATAATTACTAACTGATATCTGCTCGCCAACAAATATCACGATGCTCCTTCCAGCAAGAAGGACGGAAGAATGAGTTATATGTCCCAGATGGGAGAGTCTAGCGCGCGCTTTTACCAGGATTAAGGCGTAGAACTGGACGCTATTGAACACACTATATATAGATTTCATGAGAAACGCGGTTTAAAGCATCTAAACCCTGTTAGGGAGTGGCCAAAACTGACCTGGTACTACGTACTTTTCCACATGCTTGTTTTGAACAGTTGTCTATAATGCTAACCCACGCAAAGAAAGGAAGTTTGTCGCGCATGCATGCTGGGACTCCCTACAGAATGAGTTGCAGCAAGGTCTATTGCAACTGATTCCAGGCCAACGCATCATCTCGTGAACTGTACCGCGGTGCCTTCTATGAAGGGGGGTTGGGAACTGTTATCTAAAATACTTAGGCTGTCTTTCAGCACACGAATGTCAGATACTATGGTCGAGGAGAGAATACGTTACGCCATGCAAAGACTAGGTGACTACTATGGATGCATTCCAGCTCCTGACGTAGACATTTGCTCAGGTCAGACTTCCACAATTTTGTTCCCTTTGTTAGTAAATTCTGCCGAAGTCAACAATTTCTAACATTCACAGATTGGCCACTACCAGGCCTTAATTTGTTTTACCTGTAGTTGCCATTCCCATCTCCAGAGTTGCAGCTCCGCCCATTTTCTTTCTATCGGCTTCACATTTACAGTTGAGGCTGCTCAGGCGTAAAATTCATTTACCTCTAGTTCGCAGTGGGACGTATACTGTACAAGATCTTGAACAAAGTCTTGTTCTTCAAGCAGTGTCCGTAAATTAGACTCTCCCACTTGCACTTGAAGGAAGCAATACTCTCCTGTGCAAGGTGTGCGTCAAGCACTGACGAACTGGTACTGCCATCTCCATTGGCTCCTATGCTTTTTGCTGATAACGTAATACACCTTCGGTCCAAATTCATGGTGAATCGTTCGGCCAGTGAAAAAATGCACATTCGGACGTTCTGGCACACTGTGGAGTAAACACACGCTTTGTGTTAAAGGTGAGTCTACATAGTGGCCAGCCTGAAGGCCAGCAGGCGTTTTTTGCTTGCCTAATTGGTGTAGCAGAGATCCTCGCCAAGCCTCTGAACACAGCTGAGACATGCTCCCAGATGCTGATGTTATCCCCTCTTCCATGGACGTACACAGCAGAAGCAATGCCTCACAGGATTTTGCTTAACCATGCCTGCCAATCCATTGAGTTCCTCTGCGATATTCTGGCAGTTTTGTCAGCCGCTGCCTTCAAGCACCCCGAGCAAGTCTAATTCAAACCTGATCAACTAATACTGCGGTCAGGTGACACTCATTTCGCATTCATTGTTTACATCTTAGTATCGGATGGATCTCAATCGACCCTTCAGAGCAAAGTAATGTAGAGGGAGCTGGTTTCCCGACGGGTTATAGCGGTTCCAATTGTACCCAAAGCTTTCGTTCTGTCGTCGTGACTAGTAGGAGGCAAAAGGAGCAAAAGCGGGTATTCGACCAGTAAGCATTCCACATCAGAACGTGCACAGTGTGTCTAAAATTGCCGCGAGAAGCAAGAAGGCGCCACAATCTTCCACCCCGCACTATCATATATTTCTTTCCTCTTTGTTCTACAGTAAGGATGTTCAGTTTGCTCCGCGTAATGCAATTTGAAACTGTGCCAGAGGCACGGCATTAATCTTTATTTCGTTGCAGCATTTCCTTACACCTACACCAAATTATATGAATAAAAGCGCATGCAACGTCACTAATTAATTGGACAGATGAAGGATAAAAACGGACAGAATCTTGAGAAGAATATCCAAGAGCCACGCGTCTCGGTTCCTTTAATATCCCTCCTGCATCAAGTGTTCCACTTTCCTACTTGTTTACCTGTGCCTTAAAAAATCTTGATCCATGCACAAGATCTATCAGATTTTTCTGCATTAGGATGCTCGCACTAAATCGTCTTTGAACAAAGTCGCGAGGCCAGCAAGTCAACTGCAGGTTGGTTGTTCCACCAAGAAAGGCCACTGGTCTAGAGAGAGGTAAAACTGGCTATGCAACCCAGATCGCTATGAGAGATGAATCATCGCCCAATCAATTGGACCGTGCCTCACCATGGCTGCAGTGCAAGCGCGCTACAATAGGGCTCATGAGGTCACCTTAAAGATCTAATTTCACGAGAGGGTACAATTAGAAGTATAAATACACTTATAATGGAACTGTTTAGATAGAAAAGAGATCAAATGAGTTAAGAGTGCTCGTCCGCCTACACGACCTAGGGCTTGCCGTGAAGCTAATACAGATAGCAGATGTAATGTGTGCATCTAGTCAGGCACACTTAGGTGACATACGTAGTAAGGGCGAAGTCAAGCTGTTCACTACAATGGCAGCTCAAACAAATAGAAACGGGAGATGCAAGGAGCATTTAGGTGCCGAGCCCAAATGCGGCCCCTTCTACCAGGGACATTCGCATACAATTGCAAGCAAATCCCTTCGGCGCCGGTTCTAACACAGACTTCTAGCAAGACTCATGCAAGAGGCCAAGTAAATCTTGTTTACCAAATTCGGACACACCATGCTGGACTGCCGATTCTGTCGAGCAGCTCTATGGCTAGACGAATGCCGTGCTCTACTGCACGATGGAGTTTTTATCTTCTTCTCGGCATATAAGACTTTAGTTTTATTTGAAACATAATTACTGGCCTACTTTAGGACCACCGAAAAAAACGCTACAGCGGAGCACTCCGCAAAAGCAGCCTACGAGCAACCCGCTCGCGTTCCTACACCACGAGCGGGTGAATAGCAAGCGAATGAGTGGAATGAGTGGAGACAAACGCACAGGGTTAGAAGCTATTTGAATAACTGAATGAAAATAAATGGATATACGAGGTAGCGAACTACTTGAGTTAATTCATACATGAGAACTTTTGAGGACCCTCCTATTGTGCTTCTGGGCTCGGATCCCGCCCATCTCAAGGCCAGTGCTGATGTCTAGCCACGCCAAAATAGTGGACTTTACACCTGCCTGCCTTCGGATCAGGTGGATTTCCGGTGTTTATACAAGTAAAAGCAAAATTTGGCTATTTATACATTCTTTGTGAGGCGACAGAGTCCTCTGCAATGCGTTTCTGTGAATTCTGTGAGACCGTGGTCCATCGAGCCAATGCTAAGTAAACCCGAATGATCGGTATACGAGAAAAAGATGTATGATAGTATGCGGGTACAGAACTTAGTAAATGCGGCAAAGGAAGCTTCCAATGGCTCCCATACATCCTCAGCAAGGGTAGAAAATCCAGCCGAGGAACTGAGGTTGCTGGAAGAAGCCCCGTACTTAGCTAGAAGAAAAAACCAGAGAAATAAATGGCTCAATAAATTATGGCGACAACCGATTTTCGCCCAGGTGTCACTAGTGTTGTTGCTGTGCTTGGTTGCTTTTTCTCTCACAGCGCTTCATCCACTAAATCATAAAGCTTACTTTCAAGCAAAGCCAGTGTCAGTGTCAGAGCTTCCCAAATCTGCAGAAGATGTGGAACCCAGTGAGAAAGCCCTCCAGTCTACTGAAGATCTTAATCCCCACGAGGAGGACATGAAGTTGGAAGAAGATCTGAAACTTCGAGAGCAATCCTCCGGACTCCCTTCAGATCGGGAGGACGCTCACGAGGGAGCCAGCAAGTCTGCTGAAGATGTGGAACCCGACAAGGGAGCCCTCCCGTCTACTAAAGACCTAAATCCCCATGGGGAGACCCTGAAGTTGGGTGAAGATCTCAAACTTCGAGAGAAAGCCTCCACGCCACCTCCAGATGTGGAGTCCCACGAGGGAGCCAGCAACTCTGTTGAAGCGTTGAAACTCCAAAGAAGAAAGACCAGGTCTGCTAGAAAAGTAGAACCGAAAGAAAAAGCCACCAAGTTGGCCCAAATTCCGAACGTGCAGGGTAAGACCGCCGAATTTAATGAAGACCTGAAGCCCTACGAGCAGGCCTTCAGAGAAGCAGCGTCGATATTTTTAACACACTGGAAGTTTTCACAACCAGTTGTAAGGGGAGCATTTGCAAGGTACTTCACACCCACAACTCGAAAAAAGAAAAGACCAGACCTTAACCCTCTGGGATTGTTCAAGAAGCACATCGATGCGATGACGGCAATGGAACGACCGGACCCTTCGGATGTGGAGACATGCAGGGAATACAAGCTGAACTTGTTGCTGCTAACAGGAATTTGCGGCGCTGCAGAGGAATCGCTGAAAATGCTGGAGGAGCTTGAAGACTTGCACTCTAGAACAAAAATTCCAGTACCAATACTAGGCTTGGGACGCTCGTATCAACTGCCGCCATTAGAGGAGTTCGTAAACCAACTGCAAGAGGACGGAGTGACCTTTGGTGACTTTGTTAAAGGAAAGCTAGATTTGGTGCCAGCCGAAGCTGCAGGGGGCGTAGTCACTTCTTTGGTCGTAGCCCTGGGCAATTCCGTTGGTTTAGATTTGTCAAGAAGGCTGGGTCCATTTTCCAAAGTGCTTGGCCTTTTCGACTCAGTTGCATTGAGGCTTATGCACCCTACCGAAGAGGTGCCCAAGGCCTTGCTTGATTTGTTTGAGGCTAGCATACGCCAGGATGCAATATTAAAGGGTGGTCTCGCAAGTGCACGTGAAAAATTCGCCCCGTTCCTGGCTGCTCAAGGACTCGATGTTACAGCAACCTTGCATAATGTTTCTCCATTGAATCTCCTCTATTCTGGAAAGATTTTCGATACCAGTCTCGTCTTCTCCTCTTCTAGAAACGGAGGTGTGGAGGATGCCGACGACGCAACTGAGCAGTTGTTACAGGCTGGAAAGACTCTTTGGACTACACATGGAATGTATGTGCGGCTAACGTACTATATGACAGAGAGTGAAAGAGTACCCGAGCAATTACGTAACCGCAGAAGAGACTTTATGAAGCTCTCAAAGAACGGGAAGTCGGTTCGTGAAACAGATGATTTGCAGTCTCTCGCCAGATTCCTCATCTAGTGCTTGCGTTGCAGTGGCACAGGACGAACGAAGTTATCGAAGCGTTTGCTTCGACGCCAGCTGAGACAACGCTGGTGTCTTAGATGTTAGCCCGCCACATGGTCTCTGGGGTGTATTTGCGGAGACTGGATATCCTTCAGAGGCGAAGAGTACTTGTGTTTCTCAGTAGTCAGTAGCGCATATACTGCATTATGCGGTGTGGATATATTTGTGGTTAGGTGCTGAAGCTAAATGCACACAAAAAAAAGAACACAAGAAGCATGGTGGGGAGCTGCTGTTCTGCGCTCTTTGGTTTCTTTGTGGGCAACTGCGGTGTTCATGTGAATATCCACTCTACGCATTTGCTCACGTTTTTTCATCATTTTTATTCGAATGCAGCTGCGATATAGGCCATACGTGTGGCCAGCAGGCTATTGCTTATCAATCGCCCTTACGTGCTTCGTGTTTCCTCGGTGTGACTGCATAATCACTAGCTCTGGATAGACACCCTATATCAAGATGGAAGCGGCAGTCTGCATTCCGATGGACTTGCTTCTATCTACTGTGA